GAGTCAGGCCAAGGCTAAATAAACAATCTGGCTTGATATAAGGTAGTTTTGCTGTAGGTATTTGATGTTGGGCCAAGAACCTGTCCAGCCTAGAAGTTCTGAGGAAGTTATTTTCCCTTGGGGTTAAGGTGTCTACCTTTACTTCCCTTGCTCCTGTGGTTTGAGCAGCAGGATGATTTATGGAAATGTAGCAGTGAAGCTTTGCCATGTCATGAAAGACCCCTCTAATTCCCTTTTATTTTATTTCATCCCGCCTTTCTTCCCGGCAAACTGAAGGCAGATTACCTCACGAATGTGAAAAAAAACAGACACAGTTTTAAAACACAGTACGTTTTGAGATGAACTGACAAATAGTTTAGCAGATTATAATATCTCAGAATTAAAACAATTTTATAAACCTTTGAAATACAGAATTAAAAAAGAAATATAAAACCCACCCACCATTTTTTTTAAAAAGTCCTTCACATTAGCCAGTAGCCTGTTTGAACACTTGTCTAAATACTTGTCTTTTCCTGCTAGCAGGAAGACAGAGCCCAGAGGGGCAGCCTAGATAAAGACTCTCTTTCATGCCCTCACTCGATGTGCCTGTGAGGGTAAATGGCATAACGACAAAGGATGCTCCCAATGGTCTGAAGACCAAGGCATATATGCAGGCGACAGGATCCTTTAGATAGCTCAAACCCAAGCCATACTGGCTCTATTCAACACTGTGAACTGTGCCCAGAAATGGACCCAGAAAAAAAATTCCATGCAATGAAAGTTTTTGTTAGGCCATTGTGCTGTATGGACTAACAATAGGGAAACATGGATTCAAATACCTTGTCGGCCATCACGTGTATCAGCTGACCTTGCATCAGTCAGTGATCAACTAGTAGAATCTATCCTACAGGGTTGTAAAGATCTCACCATGAGAAGCACAAAGATTGGGGCATGAAATGTGTAGCCCTCCTAGTGCTTCTGGGTTGTAACTTTCACCAGACCTAGGCAATAGTGGATAATGACAGGAGTTGCAGCTCAACCTTGTATAAAACCTTGCCCACTACTCTCAGTTCCTTGGAAGAAGAGAAAAACATAATCCTGGTAGGTGATTTAAAACATCTGTAGAGCAGTACAGCCCTGGCTTGTAGGTTCAAAGCCTTAGGGCATTCTGGGTAGCAGGGCATAATGGCATTGTCTGCTTTAGGCTTCCCTGTTTCTTCTGAACATAACTGCAGTTCTCGTGGTAGCTAGAAAAATGGATTTACCAAGGAATAGTGTATTGTTACAGGCTATTCCTGTTGTAACGTGAAGCATTTGGAGGTGATTTGGTTGTCAATGGTCACGTAAGAGCCATTCACTTTACAAAAGTCCTGCTCTTTATTTATTGATAGGGATGTTCCAGTTACTCACATTTGGCCCTGTCCTCGAGGAGGGGGCAGTCTCTGGTAACTATCATAATGAACCCCTGTATTCCAAATTTACTGTTACCTCATTGTAGAAAAACACAAAAAAGAAGTACAAACCCCTCCCAATTAGAGACCTTCCTCATCAGTGAATTAATCCATGGCCACAGCTCTGTCTAAATGAAAATGCCCTTTGCCTTCCAGCAAAAGAACAGGAGGAAAGATGTAGCATTTCCCTTTCATGGTAAAATCTATCCCACAGATGTGTTAATAGGAGAAAATGGGACAAGCCTTATATTCTGCTCTCATTTCACTGGAAAGCAGGATTTAGTCATGACATATTACACAGGTACATGTCAATTGCTAGCAAAGTTTCGCTGAAAGCAAAGTGCAAAATAAATGTTCAGATTCCCCCCTAGGTGCAACCTCTGTGGCATTTCCCTCCCAATGCCCTCAGATGCCCCGAACTACAACTTAACATCATTTCTAGCTAACAAGACCAAAGGCCACCAGGTTGGGAAAGGTGTCTGCATGGAATTTGAAAGGAAACCAAAATGAGGGTCAAAGGGTCTACCAAAATTCCCAGGCAGATGTTCCCACATCAGTATCATAATATTTTTGGAGGAGAGAAGAAACCCAGTTTCCGCTTCACACACAGGTCTCCGGAGAGAGATGAGGGGGAAAGGAAAGTTCTACTCATGATGAAGTATCATCAGGGAAACCATGGTTAATCAAGGCATCTTGATCTCACCTTTATCCCAAGGACCTTAAGGTGGCATTCATATTGGGGGACCCATTTTATCTCCACAATGGTTCTGTGAGGTGGGTTAGCTTGAGAGTGTGTGGCAGGCACCAGGTCAGCCAGTGACTCTCCTGGATGGAGAGGGGAAGGAGGGATTTGATCCAGTTTCTTTGATTTATGCCCTGCATTCTATCTATTAGGCTACATTGCCTCTCTTAAAAAGAGATTTCGTATCTGTTGTGTAGAAACACATTTCTTCTTCAACAGCAAACGGCTTCCCTCCTTCAACCCCAGAGTTCACTGCTGCTGCTATAGGAATGCTGTGCGCTCTCCCTCTCTCACGCAAACACACACACACAAGCACACACAGAGAGACGACAAAAAATAGCACAGATACCCCATATATACTGCCTTGACCCTCCTGCAGCGATTGTACCCATATGCTAAATTAAATCTCACCCATTAGCGCAATGCTTCCACTAGACCCAGACCCAGACCGGCTCCCCCCTACCCCGGTTCCTCAACAACTGCACACTCCCTCTGGCAATCCCTGTACCGTGTTCACGTGTGGTGGGGAATACAATCCTACAACAACGTCACCATATGGGATTACACTGATATTAGCATTGGGGAGGGGTTTGTGGTTGTGGGGAGATGTGAGGAACACGGTTAACGCAGAATATTGTTCTTTCTCCTCCCCCCCCCCCCCAGCTCTCTCCATCTCTCAGTCCAACTACAAAAGTATGGGGGGGGGGAAAGGTTGGGAAAACCTCCTCAGCACAATGATTTTTTTAAAACTGAGTCCACACAAACCAACACTGTTCCAAAAAACGCACATTGGTATGCTAGCACTGAGAATTGGCACACACACATACATTCTCTGAAAGAATTCACTTATGTTCACCGCATATATATCTCTAACAATGGTGCAATTAATGAGAAAGATACATTATATCCACTGGCATATAGGATATATGCACATAATTAAATGATATAGACATATCGCCTTAAACACATTTTTCAAAAACCCTTATTTTTATGCACCAGATAAGCCAGCATAGCAGAGGCATAGCCCTCCCCAATCTGGCACCCTCTGGGTATGTTAGACGACATGTCCTATCATCCCCACACAGGTAGACAACACATCTTGAAGACACCAGCTGGGGAAGATTGCTTAAAGGAACCACCCATACATCACACACACACTATGTGGTCTGACACAAAGGGGGTGGGGAGAAAGCATCCCATTAAGGAACCACATGAAACTACACACACAACATGTTAACATGGGTTTGAGACAGGGGCCACTAGAAATTACACACAAAACCACAGAAAGCCCACCAGAGAGACAGACAGAATTGTTTTCGAAGATGGATACTACAAGGAACAAAGAAAATTCTCTCCCTCTCTCTGACTCTCTCTCAGAAACCCATAAATCAACAAGCAAATCTACCACACACTGGCATGACACCCAGGGACAGGTGTTCAAGACACCATATTCTCTAGCACTCTGCCCTGTATTGCGGGCAATTAAAAAAGCACAACATTCTAGGGCAACATCAGAAGTATACTCAGGAAACAGGAACAAAACACGACAAGAAACCCCTTTCCTCATACATAAGATACTCTTTGAAAGCACAAATACACTGCCTGCTTGCTAGTGCAGTGCAGAGAATGGTGCTTAAGGAATGCACATCCAACATTGTTTCACACACACACAAACACGCAGAGAGAGAGAGAGAGAGAACACTGTCGTACAACACATATGATGTGCGATTCTGGCTGTAAGAGGACACAGAAGGTGTGAAATGAAAAGAAATAAAAAACATACATCTTACTCGCCACCCATCTACTATAAGGTGGGGGTTAGGGTGTAAAAACATTAACTCATACAGCACCATAGGAGATGACACAGTTGAAGCAAAGACAGCACACACTATCAGCTCCCTCTCTTTTCTTCTTCTTCTTCCTCTCCCTTTGTGTGTGTGTGTCTCTCTCTCACACACACACTCATTCTCTCTCACACACACAATTTACAGCCAACAAAATTTTCAAAAGAGTAATAAACCATAGGTGCTTGCTAGCTGTGACTTTAGATGCACAAACACATGCACACACAGGGACAAATGAAGTCTTATGGGAACTGTCATTCAGGGTCTTCCCACTGTACACACATCGCCAATATTTGCATTCGCGGGCGGAACAGCTATTACCTGCAAAACCCTACACTTTTAAAAGTGGGTGCAATTATGCCAATAAAGGTCCCCTCCAGCATGCCTCGGTGCCAACTAAGACAGCCTGGCAGAAGTGATTTTGAGGAAACCGCATCCATGTTTGCAACCACGAAGGAATCGAAGCATACAAGCCGAGATGCAACCTATAGAACCTCCCCCCCGCCCCGTGTCTCTAAAGGCATTTAAGTTAAGCATCTGCAGTGCACATCAGGGCTATAAAGCACTCATTCATTCCACTCGCCGTACACGAAAGGCTGCAAGCTCACACATAGGCCAACGGGGTTCAGAATAGCACAACATGGATGAATAGAGCAGGATGGACACCCCCCCCAAAAAAAAGTGGCTTGAAAAGGGCAAGATTTTTAGCTCCAGAGGAAGCAGGGGGTTGGTTTCTTCTGTGCTTTGTCGATCTTGACCCAGGAAGAGTTGTGTGAAACTTAAGAGGGTTGCATCTTTTTTTTTCCCTTTCAAGTACTGGCTGGTCTGAGAAATGATCCCAGTCTTACTGGTTCTGTGTCTATAATGCAGATGACCACGTACAGTGCTAGAACCAAGAGAGGAGGGACGAATTAAGGAAGAGCCTAGGAGCCGGGGTTTCAAGAGATCCGGACAGGAACCGGGCTAAAGGGGGCAGGATCTCACCTTGCTGTTAGAATCCCACTGGGGCGTCGAATTCCTCGCTCTTCCACCGCACCTGCATCGCTTTCCGTGCCTCGAGTTTCTCCTTCTTGGCTATCCAGCAGCTCCAAACCTTTGGGGCGGGCGAGCGGGCGGGCGGGCGATGCTTCCCGTCCCTCGCTCTCGTCTTTGGTGGGGAAGGGGGAATTCCTGGCCAGCTCTGTTTTCAGAAGGCGCTCCTACACGACCCCGACCCCAAAGGTTTCTATGGCTGAAGGCCCCATCCAGAAGTTTGCTTCATCCAAAAGTGAAAGGAGGAGGAGGAGGAGGAGAGGAAGAAAGACGAAGAAGAAGGAGAAGGCGAGAGAAAGAGATGAGAGAAAGGATGCAGAGTTCTCGCGGAGAGCAGCAGCAGCGGGCGAGGGAAGAGATGGACGGATGCGGGCGAGGAGAGGAGAAGAGCCACAGATCGAGGCAGAGAGGGGAGCAGACGGGTGCAGGAGAGCAGAAAAGCCGAGCGGACGAGGCAGAGAAGGGACGACTGGAGGGGCGGCGGGGGAAGCGCCGGGAGGCA